TATTTGACTCTTTAGAACTCCGTCCTCTACGGAACCAAGTGGGAGATTTAACAGTGGAATACGAAGAGAAGAAGCACGCTTATGATTCCATGACGGCTGGCCTGGAGAGCAACGTCGCCCGCATCGAACAAGTCAGTACACATTTTTTCACCTCTTTCCTTTTTCGCTTCCACGAATTGAAAGGAACTGCCACCGCCCAGATGTCAACCTACCTCGGAGTCAGGCTTCTGTTGGCTACTGCGAATGCTCCAAACTGGGCTTCTTTCTTTTTTTTCTCAAGTTGCAGCTCAAGAATGCTGCGCTGAGGGCGCCTACTGACTCCCTAATTCTGGAAAAACTTACAATAAAAATCGTACAGAAGTGGAAGGCCAGCACGCAAGGATGGGCCTGTATTTTATAGTCTTCTTAACGTAAGCATCAAAGTTCACTGGAGAATCATTTCATTTTGCTCGCAAAAAACTTGGATCGATGGAGACGATCTGTAGACGATGAGCGATGAGAAAAAATTACTTGTGAAAAAAAAACGAAAAGGTCCAGGAATCCAACGAATCTAACTTGTTGGATCTGCACAGAGGACCGTCAACCTAAAGAGACTTTCAGAGAATCAGCATTGGGTACGCACTGAACGAGGTTAGTAGTTTGGGGGAGGACGAAGCTTGGGAACATTATGACCACTCATCCCGTCGTTCATGATAGCCAAATGTATAAAAGGAGCCCGATTTTGAGATAACTAAAAGCAAGTGTTTTAGCATTTCTGACCAACAAGGATCTTGGACTACTCGGGATAGCGACAGAAAGTTATTATTTTCCGAGTCAGTCACATTTCCTATGAGAAATTCACGATTTTCAATGCTCCTGAAATGATTCACTCTATAGAATCGGCTCCGCTCTTCTTTCTTCGTGATGCGATGATGAGGCTAATTTTTTTTCCATGGATGTAGGAGGTGAACGATCTGGAGGAGAAACTGTTCAACTATGAATCGCAGTATCATCGTCTCCAAGCAGAGACGCAGATCTTCATGCTTCATAAGGAACGAGTTGGGAATGAAGTGAAGAAATATTTGACGCCAGGAGATAAAAAATCCATCAGGTCTTGCAACTCTTCTTCTTCATCCCCATAGGCTCGGATATGCAACGTTCCTCGTATCGATAGCTTCGCAACAGAGGCGTCCTTATACAGGGTGTCCTAAATTGACGTAGGCCCCCAGAATTAAATGTGAAGGCGAAACCCAAGTTCCATCTTCAGGACAAGTTATCTGGCGTTGAAAGCAACTGCCAATACCTCTTTGCCCTTTACCAGCTTTTCGCGAAGTTTGTGAAGCTATGGCTAGTTTTACCTGCCTATCACCACATTTTCCAAGATCTTGTGATTTCCTTCCTAAAATTTAGGATAATGTGGTGGATAAATAAGAAAATTTTTATTTATCCTAAAATTTAGGATAAATAAAATTTAGTACCAGATGTCGCTTTCCTCCAAGACAACGCTTCGCGTTTCGAAATCCTTCCCGTCGAGAATTTTAATGTGGATAAGCCATCGATATGACAAATGCTCCATATGCAGAGAGGAGTTAATGGAGAAGATTTTGGAAGCAGAGAAGGTTGGGAAGCAACTGAAGGAAGAGCAGAAAAACCTGAAAGACACTCATCCCGGCACGTCTCGTCAGAAACAAATCTGGAACGATTTGCTCAGGTACTCAACTCGATTTCTGTCTCTATTGGGGTTCTTCCCGGCTCTAGTTTTCTTTTTGATCGAGCGAAGGTCTT